ATGCATTGTTTTGTTAGCTGCGTGGAAGCTCTAAAAGGTATGTCCATTTTGATGTTTTTTAGTCAGCAGCAAATGTTCTCCCTCCCTCCACTTCCCTTCGGACAGATTTAGCTGGATTTTATTCGTAAAATTAGTTGCACGGAAGGTACAATAGTATCTGAACACACCTTGCTCTTCTATAAACCCAGTCCTAAGCAGATATTCATGATCATGAACTAATGGAATGACAAAACAAAACATTCGGTCCATAAAGCCTTGGACAAACGTAAATTACGTTCTCATGTCAGAGAATTTGAGGCGCAAATCCAGAAAAATCTGCAGCATTCTTGTTGGACGATAGGATCAAGACACTGTTCGATCTTCAGCCAAAGCTGTTCCAGCTCTTCGGTTGAATTCGAGGCTACATGTTTTGATGCTTAACGCGTAATATCAATAACCGCATCTAGGGCTCCCTTTGGGGCTTACGTGCCCTCAATTTTCACGAGTACTGCTTTGGAAATGCTGCCGTAGTCACTGCCAGGAGAGGGGCTTAGCGAGGGCCACGATCGCTCTTTTCCAAACCAACGTGTGTACGCCCGGCAGTGCTTCACTCTGCTCAGAGATATAGAAAATTTTTTTCATTTGATAGAAGTAACACCCACACTCCAACAACCCGATAAGTCTGGATTCTCACCGATGCTCCACCTGACGCTTGTGAATAGCGGATCGCGCTTGAGGCGCGGAATCTTCGACCTTTTGCCAGAGCAGTTCTGATGCGACAAGTGACCAGTACTGCGACATCTCCGAAGACACGTAAAGATCCGAAAATACAAAGTTTCGATCCCACATGCCTTGACCCCGATTCAGCTCCAAACACGATATGACGTCGTTATGTTTGCAAATTGGGCGATTACTGTGGGGTTCGTACGTTTAACGTTGGCGCCGGGCCCCCGGGCCCGAATTCGCAACCAGAGGTGATCTGGCGTTTGACAGACAGCAGGTTATCCATACCGGCGCGAGGCGCCCGCGTGCATTGCCGGGTATGCACGCAGAAACTCCCACATCTTACATTTGTGCATCGCCGGGTATGCACATCTATATTTTGCTCCCAAATAAACCTTTTCCAGTACTTTTTCGACGAATTGACTTTTGTTGGCCTCATGAATCTACAGAACACGTGGCATGTGGACAACTTCGATTTCTACCGATTTATGACGCTTCGCGAAGGCATGAATCCTCCATTCTATCAGTAGCGACGCAAAGGGATGAATCAGTTTTCAGAGATTCAACACTCAAAACAATCAGATTTCAATGAGCCTACGTATTGACAAGTTCTCAGCAATTACAAACTTTCTATGCTATTTCGGCTTCAGAGTTTGAGCTTCCTTGGCAATTATAAACAAGGTTGATATCAGAAATTCTATCAACAAGTCTATTAGTTACATATACTTTCACAATCTCAACAGACAAGAAACAACGATTAACCTTTTGAATTGAGTATTTTGTGGAAAATAATTGCGCAGCAGTGTCTCTTTTCGCACAACGACTGACATGTAAGATAAACTGCCCCTGTAGCTTTCTATCTTGTAGAAAACGCACGAAAGCGAGTAAAGCACTTCTTAAAACTAAAAACTTCGTTGAAGAGCAACGCAAACTGATAAAAGACAGTGACTACAAACTCTCATAAAACAAAAGATGGTTAGTCGTGCTCTGCGCCCTTCGATGATTGCCCATGTGGCCGCGTCCCGCACGAAACCCAGTATAAGAGATTCCTCGAGCACATATGACATGTTGAGCAGTCGGGTCGCGGGTATGCACGCACGCAAGCCAGGATTCTCGAAATCACACGCCTGTGCTCGACTATAGCGCCAGAGAGATCGCTGGCTCGGAACTCGTTCAAATTAGATCGTTTAACCATTCTCACTTACACAGAATGGATGAGGGAGTGGATATCCAGTATGGGCTTGTGCTAGCAAATGAACAAGCGGCGGTAGATCCAGCTCAAAACGCTTTGGCGAGTTCGGACTCAAGTTTCTTGTACATGCCAAAGTTCAACCTCGTCCAAGTAGGGCCTTCTCGGATTTTTGGTTGGAACAACGAGAGGAGTTAAGCTCTGGAAACCCCTACGTGTAGATGTCGCAGTCAACGCGAAAGTCAACTATCCACAGCTCGAATGCAACGCTTTTAATACGAAAGAAAAACAAGGCAAAGTCTTGCTTTGTATGACACCGTTTAACTTCGTATGCACGTTATAGACTCGCTAACATCGCTCGCCCACACAACAGGAGCCCGACCAGTCTGTCTCCTCTCCAACCATCTCCTAGGGAAGAAGCTCATCCTAACTCCTCGCAACGCATTTGATGTCAACAATTCGCTCGACACCTTAATTCTTTCTATCCATAGAATTCGGTACGTTCAGGAGTTTACTACTTAACGTGTCATGTGCCTAATGCCTAATATTATTCCAACATTTCCCTTGGAACTGGCCTGTGCACAAAGACAAAACTGATGTTTGTGTGCCCGCTATGCGAATATGTGGAACGCAATGTGTCAAAAAATTGGTGGGCAGGGTTCTTTCATGTCCTGGTTTGAAATAATCAAGCTACTCGGGTTGCTATGCTTGTGGTTTGAAGGTCATCTCTTGATCACCTCGATTTTACTTCCACTTCTTCCACTGCCTGGATTCCATTGAATGCATCTCACAGTGAAAGTTGTTTCTTATACGTCTCTCACTGATATTTTCACTTTCAGCTGAGAATGTAGAGTATTTTTGCAGTTCTCTTTTTTTTTGGGCATTCACTTGCTGAATATGGTCGGATAATTGCGCGTTCCGAGCAATGACGCTTATACTCGAGTATATTTCCAAAAGAATTTTTAGCCCGGTCGTCACCCACATGCGACATTGCACTCCTTCTTATCATCGGGTTCTCGTCGATTAGCTGCAAATCTCCAGACCTTTCGAGAAGGGTTGTTCACGCGATAAACTGCGGTAGGTTCATCTAGAACTTCGAAATTACAACGTAAAACTTTTTGACCCTCTGAGACTCCTAAAAACCTCTAGAATTTGTTTTAAACCTCATATTTTTATTCTCCCATGCTACGCGGCGGTAGGTGGGGGAGGAATGTATTCGATGAAACTTGTGACGATCAGCGATCACGGGGCAAGCCTTCCAAGCTCGAGTGACTCTAGCGTCCTAAAACCCAAAGCTCACCTATGATATTTATGCGGTCCGGGTACTTAGGATTCATTAGGCGCGGTCCGTCATTCATGCACCTCAGATTTACTTCGTATGTGTAAGGATGTGGGGTTATATTATATTATCCGTAGAAATCCTAAGCGAACCGTAACGGTAACCCTGACGGTGATGGTATTTGGTCAGGCTTCCAACCTCTTACTGTGCGATCTGTGGCATTTGGCTTGCTCGAGTGCCTTTTGATTCGGTGAAGAAAAATACCAAATGAACTGTAGGGAAGTCCAGTGCGGCTTAAATGAATCTCTGTCCCTCGTATATCTAGGGCGAGGAAGACGACAATTTTATTGCATGTTCGGGTCGAATTAAGGAGGGTTTTATGATGAGAAGGCAGCTTAATGGAAAGTAAGGTTGGAGGTGATCAGTGGAGCAGGAATGAAGGAGAAACCATGTGAGACGGCTCGGAACCTGAGAAAATTGGGACCCCTTTCTTGTCCGCTGATTTCTGCACTGATGTGACCCACATTGCTAAGTCCTCTTCAACGTTAACGCTCTCTCTGCTAATAGCCATTCGCCCAGTATAGACCTGCGGTAGGTTAAATGGGTAGTCGGTGGGCACTCCGGGCTAATGGCGCCGAAGGGATGGAAAGGCCGTGCTAGATCGCGCGGGCTTATCATTCGATGAGAATTTCGTGTTGGTCCGCCTGTCTCTCCACTAGGGAAGTTTTCCCTCCTTCGACATTCGTTCATGTCGTGGAATCCTTTTATATATTAAAGCGGCTAACTTTGCAGCGCGCCTGTGTCGCGTTTGTCAGAGCGCTTTGTACCTCGTATGTGTGTGTGTGTGTGTGTGTGTGTATGTATGTGTGTCCGTCCGCAAAATGAAGTGAGTGAGAAGGAAGCTCATGGGATAAACAAACCGCTAACAAATCGGGTAGCTTACAGGATTTGAGATATCAATGTTTTGTAGCAGGATAGTTGTGATAACACTCTTAGGGCTATATAAACACCTGCTTAGCACACTCAGCTTTACATCCAGTCCACATAAGTGCTGCAGTTGCAGCTCGGAATGCCGCGTGTGGAGAAGGAAGGGAGGGAGGAGAGAAGGGAGGGCGAAAAATCCTACCCGTAGCATACATTCATATCATGTTTGTGTCCCTTCTACTGTATGAAACACCATTGTGTTGCATACGCGTCACTTCCAGGAGGTGTTGGTGTCACAGGAGGAAGGGACCATAGCGGAGGATAGAAAGCTTGCGCAGGAAAGGAAGGTCCCGGCGGTTGACGGGGCGGGGGAACTAAGCCTGATCCTTTGATAACCAACTAGGCAAGAAAGATGTCATGAACACCCTTAGTCGGATGATAAGCAGTAACGCCAATGGACCGCGCGATTTAGTTGAATAAACCCGGCCGTGTCGGCCGCTTTTACGCTTCTCCTTTGTTTTCTTGAAGATAAAAACAGGAAATTCAGAAGCGATAAAGGAATAAGGACTCAACGACAGAATTCAGAACTGATGAACATTAAATGATGGGGTTCTGTTGATTATTCAGTCAGAACGGGAATCGCTAGGGCTGGATGCTACGAGCAAGCTATTAAACCGTTATATTGCATTCGCTGCGGCATCGCTAACAACGCCGTGCGCGGCGAGTTGACCTGACATTTTCATAACTTGGAAGGCATTCCAACCGAGTGAACACAGAAGGGGATACTCACCTCATCCGATCAATCTGACTGAGCCTTCGCTGACTTCCTCCATATCACCACTAAATAATAGCACATATTATTCAGCAGTGATATGGAGAAAAAATACAGTACTTGTATAACTTTAGGTCATTCACAATGTGTTCGAGCTAGCTAACATATTGCTTATATTGCTTTCCAATAGCATTATTGAGCATTCAGGCGGATATCGTCACGTTGGAGCATATGGAATCATTTATCAAGAGGATCAGAATCCTGTTGGCATAGTCTCTGATTATGGTTCTCGCTACATCTTCCCGAATGTACCGATAGAGGACCGAAAGCTCTATGAAGTGAATGTCTTCGCTGTAGAGTACTTATTTCTCAACCCTACATAATTCTTTAGACGGAACGTTATCACAACGGAGATCTCACATACACGTTTGACATTGCGAAGGATGGCGAATACGTGATCGTGTTGAAGTTCTCCGAAGTATATTTTCAATCTTCTGGACAAAAGGTCAGAATTTATAGAACATTCCTTATTCACGAAGCACGAAACATGAAAGCAGACAACACTTATATGTAGCGGTGCAACTGCGAGGCTAGTGTGAGTTGCATGGATGGAAACTTGTGAATGGGCATCAATTATAATTATGGCTGACGAATACGGGGTGCCATAAATCTGGCCGCTGATTTTGGATTGTGCTCCAAGCTATAATGAACAAACCTAGTGCACGAAACAGAAGAGCTCAGAAAAGGATGAGGGAGAAGAGGCAAGGTGGGCACTAACGCGATGCCAAACAACAAGGCTGGAGCGTCCATTCCTTCAACGCCGATAATCACATCACTCCTAGTGTGCCTTTTATCAGAAACACCATACATCAGCTGTTAACACATTGGCGAGCGGGTG